TAATGTGAATCAACACTTTAAAAACTTTTGGTAGATTCTGTTGGTAAACATTTTAATCCTTGGGGTATAAAAAGATACAAAGTGTTTTCTATAAACCTTTGATAAATTTGATTATATTCATTTCAATTTATTACATTTTTCAGTTCTAGAATTTGATTCCTTTTTTTCAGTTTCAAGTTCTCTAGTAAACTCTCAATCTTAATTCTTTGAATATATTGAGTATAGTTTCTTTAAATAATATCTGAAAACTTCGTTATTTGGATCCTTTGTGGAATGTTTTTATTGCCTGTTGCTTTCTTTTTTAAAAAATAATCATTTTTCAAGCCTGTAATCCCAGCACTTTGGGAGGCCGAGGCGGGTGGATCACGAGGTCAAGAGATCGAGACCATCCTGGTCAGAACGGTGAAACCCCGTCTCTACTAAAAATGCAAAAAATTAGCTGGGCATGGTGGTGCATGCCTGTAATCCCAGCTACTCAGGAGGCTGAGGCAGGAGAATTGCCTGAGCCCAGGAGGCGGAGGTTGCGGTGAGCCGAGATCGCGCCATTGCACTCCAGCCTGGGCAACAAGAGCGAAACTCCGTCTCAAAAAAAAAAAATAATAATAATCATTTTAATTTGCCTCCTCATATGTCTGGTTATTTAAGAGAGAATACCAGTCATTTTCTGTGAAAATGCGTAAAGATTTTAGACCTATGATATTATCTACCTGCAGAACATTTTCTTCTGGCTAGTGGCTGGGTATACTAGCAATTCCAGATCACCTAAAATCAATGAATGATTTAGGTTATTTGCAGCTGAGTTTTCATCCCTGAGATCTGATTTGTTGCCAGTTACCTTTACTCTTAGGGTACCTCAAATCCCCAAAAGTCGTGGGTATTTACCATATTCGATATCCTTGGCAGACTCTCAAGTCCTTTATTTTTTTCCCTATATTTTACTGAATGTTCATCTCAATCTTCTTAACCATCTCTCAGAAAATTGTCAGGCTATATTCAGATAAAAGTGGCCTCTCATTCTGAACTCTGGATTTTCTTCTCTCATATTTTGGTCCCATGATTTTTCATGACCTTGTTGGCTCTCTAACATCATTAGAGAAATTTTGTTTCATATTTTGTTCACTTTATTAGTTATCATGGTCGAATTGGTCTCAGTTCATGGATTATCATCTGCTATTACCAAAAGTAGAACTTTTTTTTTTTTGAGACGGAGTTTCGCTCTCGTTACCCAGGCTGGAGTGCAATGGCGCGATCTCGGCTCACCGCAGCCTCCGCCTCCTGGGTTCAGGCAATTCTCCTGCCTCAGCCTCCTGAGCAGCTGGGACTACAGGCATGTGCCACTATGCCCAGCTGATTTTTTGTATTTTTAGTAGAGACGGGGTTTCACCATGTTGACCAGGATGGTCTCGATCTCTTAACCTCGTGATCCACCCGCCTCAGCCTCCCAAAGTGCTGGGATTACAGGCGTGAGCCACCACGCCCGGCCCCAAGTAGAACTTTTTGTTAACTTTTACTTTATGCTTTCTTCAGTAACTTGTAAAAATATCTAAATGCTTGGTTGTTCAATAGGCCTTTAATTAATTCTTTGTCATTTAAGTTAATTGAGGAAATGTATAATAAGTATCAAATGTATGTAAACCACTATGTTCCATGCCTAGTGGAGATACGTCAGACACCCCTTCTGACTTCATTTGAAACTTTGTCTAATAGGATAGAAGAGGCATACATAAATTATTATGTAAGATTTTAAAACTTTTAAATGCATAATAAAGGTGTAGGTCAAGTCTTACACTGATCTAGAGAGGAGAAATATTACTTCCATTGCAGAGGATGAAGTTAGGCTTTATTAGAAATAAACTTTGAGCTGGGTTTTCAGCCTTACACTAAATCTTATATTGGGTAAAAACAGGTATCTGTCATGATTCTTGCCTGTCAGTGGTTTTTAACCACATTGTACAGAGAGAAAGTAATTCTGATGCTTTGGTAATTGTATTTCCACACATTGAGAAGATTCAAAGCAAAATCTCATTAACACTGATTTTTTTTTGAGAAGTAGGTAGAATTTCTTCTCTGTAATGAAACATTGTGTGACTAAATATTTTTAAACTTTGGCTTATTGACCAGTTAATTTATTTTTCTTTTATGTACCATTTAAAAATATTTAAAATCAACTTTTATTAAGATACAATAAAATCTACCCAAATATATCCTGCCACATAACAATCAAGCTATGGAACATTTCCATTACCCACTAAAATTACCTTGGTCCCCTTCTTGCTCAGTTCCCTACCCTGCCTCTACCTCAGTCAATTACTAATCTGCCTTCTGTCACTGGAGATTAATCTTTTGTAAAATTACATATAAATGGAACCATACAGTATACTTTTGTATCTAGTTTCTTTTGCTCAGCATGGTTTTAAGATACATTCATTTGGGGGTATATATCCATAGTTTGTTCTCTTTTATTGCTGAGTTTATTCCATTGTAGGACCCTACCACAGTTTGTTTATCCATTCACAGATTTCACATAGGTTTGTTTTTAAACTTATCAGAAACATCTAGCTGCCAATTTATCTTTTTTTGCATATTGATTACTCATCTTTGCAATTGAGAGACACTGATATCTTGAACTCTACATTTATAATGCTGTAAAAATGGATTTGGGGGCCGGGCACGGTGGCTCAAGCCTGTAATCCCAGCACTTTGGGAGGCCGAGGCGGGTGGATCATGAGGTCAAGAGATCGAGACCATCCTGGTCAACACGGTGAAACCCCGTCTCTACTAAAACTACAAAACATTAGCTGGGCATGGTGGCGCGTGCCTGTAATCCCAGGT